GGAGCCTAGCTCGAGAAGGCCAGCAGCATGTTCCTTGCAGGCTATAGAGGGGTTTTCCAACATTAGGGGTATCTTTAAAGGGGGATAGAGGGGTTATATAGGGGTTATATAGGGTTTAGGGTGTAGGGGGGTTTCCCAAAATTAGGGGTAGTAACCTGGCAAGCCTTCCTAGGCTTTGTTTTATGGAGTTACTCGGATTTTCTGTTGTTATTCTGTCAGGCTTGCTACTCTTAGATTTTTTGCCAAGCGTCTTTTCCTTAATGGGGGGTTGTAAGGAATCAGGGAAGAAAATATATTGGGTTTACATCTAGGAATCATATTCCCTTATTCGTCCTTATTCCCTACTAACCCTTAGTAACCTGACCGCACCCAACCCGATAGCAGCCAAAAGCAGACGTGAACAAATCTGTTTTGTAGCAACGAGCTTGAAAGAGTTGAGATGGCGCCATAGCAAGAACAAAAACTTGAAGCCAAACTTCCTGCGTTGACCTAAACCCATACCCTAAACCCATAGACCCTAAACCCTAAACCCCTGAACCCTAAACCCCTAAACCCTTAACCCTGAACCCTTTACTCTTGTCATAAGGCTGTGCTGCTTCTCTTGTAATATGACCTCCACTCGCTCAACACGGAGGAGACCTCGCGCGATTGAGCAGCTGACACCCCTCCTCCTGCATTCAACAACATTACCCGAAGACCCAAGGAAAAAGGAAAGGTATGTGTGGTTTCCATACATTTTGGATCCTGGCTTAGGGGTCAACAGGGATTATAGTGCTTTCGGGTCCATGTTGGGATCTTGTTTATTTATGGAAGCTACGGAATAATCCCAACACAACTTTTATGACCCTATATAATAGCTTTCATGTCATGTTTCCCTTGATTTTCCATTTGAACATCCATTGTCCCTTAACCATCCCTTATTGAGAATCTACCATACATCTACGGACTTGTAAAGACCGGCTTTGGAAGCCTGGGTCCTAAACCCTAAACCCTAAACCCTAAGCCCTAAACCTTTTATTGAGGGTTTACAAGTTGAGGCCGGTCTCGACACATGACTTGCTGAATATGCCCAGGGACATTGCTGACCATGTTGCCAAAGGTTATAATCCCAAGGATCATCCATATTGACCCGAAGATCCTGCACCGCTTGGGGTTTTAAGGTTTAGAAACTAACGACTCATCAAAATTTGGGGAAACCCTAAATCAGAAATCCGATAATGCCCCTATATAACCCGATATCTATATATACATATATGTGTATATACTCTATAATCGCTTTAAAGGTCTGGAGAGCTTGGGAGATGGGTTCCGCTCCTTCCGAGCTCAGACTTCGGGCTAAAGTCCCCAAAGCCCACCGTCGAAAAGGTGATGACCCCCATGTAGAATGCATCTTCAAAAGATAGCTGCACACCACCAGTTTCAGTGCAGTTGTCTCCATCCAGGCATCCCTCCACACGGGTGGCTCCATAGGAGCAGGAGCAGCGCTCGTAGAGAGCAAAGAATGCTACCCAACCAGCAAGGAATAGGAGGTACACAACTGCAGACCTCACCAGGTTGGCAACCTGCAGCTTTTCTTTCGGGATTTCTCAACATGAGAGGATTCTTGTGGATCTGGGCATGATCGAATTTCCGAGATACTGCAAGCGGACCCTTTTCCGACTTCCTAAAAGTTCCTTCCTTTGAGAACACTTCCAGAAATCATGGATCTGACAGGAGGATGCGGCCTGACGGAACTCCAAAGTCATGTCAGTATTAAATACTACAAGTCCCCTTAGCAATCTCTAAGGGGGTCCCCTGACTCCTTCAAATCCTTACCAGGTTCTATGGTGGCTGAGGGCTACCCATTTTGAGAAACCCTCATGTCGTAACCAGCCCTGGGACAGGAGTTCGCTTCCAGTACATGGATAACACTTTGGAGCTGAAAATCTTGTTCCGGCTGATGCTCCTGACAACGCTGTCTCTCGTTTCCTTCAGCGAATCCGCCAGTTCTGCTTGTGAAGCCTCCACGATCGACTCAATCAAACTGTTCAGAATGCTTGCGACCAGGACGGTCCCCAGCATGACATAGAATGCTAAGAAGAGCTCTCCGCTGCGGCTTGGCGCAATGTCTCCGTAGCCCACGGTTGTGACAATCTGGACAATAACGTAGAAGCTAGTCACGAAACTCCACTGCTCGTACAAAGACAGCATACTCACACCGAGCGCAACATACAGGAGCAGGGCGATTGCATTAAAGGTCTTCTGGTGCCGGATGCACAACGGAAGATCATCCTCTGGATCGTAGGAATCCTGCATGGAAAGCGGGCAAACGGAAGCAACCATGCAAAGCGTTTCCTGAGACCGTGCACACAACCGAAACAAAATATTGGCATGTTTCTGCCGGATGGGGATTCTAACATCCGGACAAAGGGACTGCAGACTCCGCAGGCCAAACTGAGCCAAACTATCAAAGTGCAGGAAGGATTCTCCAGGGCCCGTTTTGCGCATCTTTTGTTGACGGGATAGCCTTCAGAATGGCAAGGACTACGAGCCCAAAACTTCGTAGCGAACAGCATTAGGAGCCACTAAGTCCTTAGTGTGGGGATGGGGTACCAAGCAACTCAGATAAGCCCGGTTTCAATTTTATCTTCCATGTTCTCTTCCAGTTCAGTCTCCGCTATAAGGGCAACATCCCCATAACATCCCTATGATCTCCCTATGATATCCCTGTATAAACCCACTATAAGCCCCCTATGTGCCTGTTAATCATCTGCTTCTATGCTCCTCGTCGGACGACGTGTCGCCCGCCTCGGGCTCGGCGCCGACAAGCACCCGAGCCTGCCGGATTGTTGTACCCGGGAGAATTTGGGGATTATTGGAGTAATATAGGTATAATGGACAAGAAAACGGAAACTACTATTTAGGGTTTAGGGTTTAGGGTCCCCCTTATAAGTAGATAGAATATGGCTTTGGGTATGTGATAGTAAGATCCCCATATACACCATATTCTATCTACTTAAGGGGGACTATAGTACTTCTGGGCACTCGGGGGTTCTCGCCCGTAGGGGCATATTCGCAACTCGGTCGTACACATCAACGGTCGCCTACTCGCATAGCTCTTGGGAACCATAGTGCAAATTGGGATTTGCCTCTTCCGCCATTGCATACGGCGGCAAGCGACAAAGCTATGCTACAAAGAAATCGTTTGAGCTGCAGCAATCGGATGGGCTGAGGGGCTGAAGGGGGCTCAGGTTTCGCTCAACTCGAACGAACGGCTCCAAAGAGATACTGGGATTGCAAGGACATTGTAGTAGCTGGGCAGCTACATGGGGGCAAATGTGCTCTCGGTAGCTGGGTGCTGAGGAAATAATGATGTCAGTTCGCAGAACGAGGCCCACGTCACAAAGCAAAGCCACGGTCTCCCTGAAGTCGATCTCGTGCGTGTTCAGAACAACATTTCGGCATATCTATGGGTCTAATGCTGAATTTCCCGATCTACAGGACTATCGGAAATAGTGTGTGTGTGTGTACAAATAACCTGCGAGTTTCCCATATGGACACACCAGAAAAATTCTGCTTATTCAAAGAAGCTCATGCTGGCTTCCATGACCGTTTGGGTATGCAGCCTACTTGGGAGGTTCTTTCGGCAACTCCGGGACCCCTACATTGCGCCGAGGTCCTAACTGGCACGATGCTTTGAGAGACCTACCTAAACCAGCGCTTAAACAGTTGGAGTTTGGAGGTCTGCGGAAACTTGGCACAGACATTTGATCCCACAATCTTAACCTAAAAAAGGGTCTAGGTCTGAATCCAAGCGAACTTCATGGCCAATTCTGAAAGGTTGGGGCGCTTTGGGGGTATCCTGGTATCCTTTTAACAGTATTACAATATAGTATACTATGGTGTAATATTGTATAACATGGTATATACGGCAGAAAATGGTATAATATGGTATGTATATGTAGATTGATGCATAGTAGTTTTCATGTTCGTTTCCATTCCCCCTATAATACGAAAGGGTTCAGGGTGAGCGCTGGACACTCGCCACATCACCTCACAAATTTCGAATATTGCAGTCCAGGGCAGCTTGAGAACCGCATCCAGCTCAGAGGGACATTAAAGTGTATCATAGTATATTATAGTATATTCTAGCATATTATGATACATCATAAGACATTCTAGTATACTATAGTATAGTATGATATAAATAATAGATGATAGGAGATTGTAATATATTGAAGTTTATTATAGGATAGTATGTTATAGGATATGATTGTATATTATAGGATATTAGAACATATTATAGTATCTCATAGTATATTCCACCCCATGTTCAATTGAGCCCAAACAATTACCACCTAAATTTGAGGCACCTTACTATCGTCATATAAGGAGCCCATGAGGACAGTATGGGTAACAATGTAGGCTTCCACAGTACACCTTACGATGCAACAGCTTATTTTGAGCCATCGCCATGTGTTTCCTGTCCAATCTACTCATTCCCATCAGCAGGAATCTCCAGAATCAAGCTGCCGTTCGGAGGAATGTGGGTGAAGCACGTACCCCAAGGGGCCTCAAGCACATGAATTGAGACATGAAAGAGATCATGCGCAAGACGGCCTAGCATCACGTGTACTGTTGCAGGCATTGAACTATGACGTCTTGTCATCTTGCTGCAGAGCCATGGCGAAATTACGACGAATTGCCCCGCGGGCTTATTTCCTAAACTTTTTTTTGAACCCCAAACCGGACCAAAAAAAAAAATACCGGTTTCGAGCTAACATACGGACTTTCGGACCCAAAACCCTTTTGCCTCCAGCCTCTAAACTTTCAAGCCCTCTGACCCCAAAGCTTCTCCCTCCGTCGGGCCACATGCACGTCTGCAAAGCACTCTCCACCATTGGGGAATCCGCCCTCAAAAAGCAGTTGGCACGAGGAGGATCCATCACTGGCTTTCCTGGGCACATGAGGAGTTTCCTTTAAAGGGGTTTGTAGGAGCCCCAAGATGAATTTCATTGAGTTTTAGGTTGTGCAGGCTTGAGGGACGAAACCCCCATAATGGATGATCAAATGGAAAAGAGAAATCAATTGAATTCGGGCTGGGGTTGTATAGCTGTTTTTGAATTTGGTCGCGCAGACCTTTTGAAC